TTATTGAGATGATGCTCTGACCAACTGAGCTATCCAGGCATGGCCAGATACAGATGGGATTATAAGTAAAATAAGCCGTCAATGTACCTGGGGATAGATAGATTAAAAAACAAACGAAAGGAACCAGGAGGAGGGTTAATAATATAGGTATTTTTTTCTATAAGTTATTGCAAAGGTTGACTGTGTTCTTGCATCAGTTATAAGTCAAAGGAGCACTGAAAGGGGAGGAGGAAGTTGGTTTCAGGAATGCAGGGATGGATGGAAACATCAAAAGTGCATGTTAAGAAAATGTATATTTTTGCCCTGGCTGGTTTAGCTCAGTAGAGAATCAGCCCAAATACTAAAGGGTTGCAGGTTTGATTCCAAGTGTATGTAATGGTTACAGAGTTTATCCCTGGCTCTGGTTAAGGTGCAGACAAGAGGCATCCAATTGATGTCTCTCTCACATTGATATTTTTATTCTCTGTGTCACTATCCCTCCCTCCCTTCCACTCTCACAAAAATCAATGGAAAAATATCCTCGTATGAGGATTAACAACTATAACAAAAATTATATTTGCACTCAATTATATTTCAACTTTTAAAGAATGTTTAAAATGTACCATTTCCCATTATTTTACTGTTTTATTAAGAATGTTCTGGTCCCAGGTTCGATTCCGGTCAAGGGCATGTGCCTTGGTTGCGGGCACATCCCCAGTAGGGGGTGTGCAAGAGGCAGCTGATCGATGATTCATCGATGTTTCTGGCTCTCTCTCCCTCTCTATAAAAAATCAATAATATATATATATATATATATATATATATATATATATATATATATAAAATTACTTAGAATAAATGGATTTAAAGTGAAATAGAGTTAACAATATATTCATTTCAGGGGCTACTGTTTAAAAAGATTAATCGTTGTGTGTGCTGGCAGGGATGCAGAAAAACTGGAATTTTTATATGCTGTGGGTTAGTGGGAAGCCACCAGCAATCACCATTTTGGGTCACAGTGCTGCATATTTTATTTATTTATTTATTTTTTAAATATATATTTTATTTTTTACAGAGATGAAAGGAGAGGGATAGAGAGTTAGAAACATCGATGAGAGAGAATCATCCATCAGTTGCCTCCTGCACAACCCCCACTGGGGATGTGCCCACAACCAAGGTACATGCCCTTGACCGGAATCGAACCCGGGACCTTTCAGTCCACAGGCTGACGCTCTATCCACTGAGCCAAACCGGTTTTTTCGGCAGTGCTCCGTATTTTAAATGTAAAACATTCAGCGACACTGCAACAATTTGAGAAGTTAACACATGTCTATGTAGAGGACAGAACACAAATATTCCCAGCAGGTTCATTTATAACTAGAGGCCCGATGCACGGAATTCGTGCAAGAGTAGGTCTTCGCAGCCGTGCCTCGATCACAGCCCGCAGTGCCTGCCTCAATCCCACAGCTGCAGCCCCAGCCTCTTCGGAAGGAAGTCCAGATGGTCGTTCCGCGGTTCAGCCGCTCAGTGGATTTGCATATTATGCTTTTATTACTATAGATATTTTAACAACAGCGTTCTAGGCTTCTGTTCTTTAACTGGAAGTTTAATTTAGACATAAAGGAAGTAAGTTTACGGATTGTAAAATAGTTCATCTGACCCCCCATGAACACAGAAGCATCCTAGGGTACCCTTCTGAGTGGCAGGATGTGTGACAGCTCAGGGCAGGGCTGTCTGAGCCCTATCGGTGCTAGATGTGTTTTCACCTTCAAGTCACCTTGGAAGGCTGTTTTGAAGAGAAAATCGTTTGGTAGTTGAGTTAGTGGTTGAAGGTAGACATTAAGCAGACCCCTGACTGCCTTTACAGAGGAAGTGTTGAGGGCTTTTGGACCCCTGGGATAAGCCGCTGAAGAGGGAAGGGAACCATGAAAGGGTTGTCACCATGACAAGGCCTGGTCAGATTGGCCGTGGGGTGGAGGATGGAGAGGTTGGTTGGGTGGCGGGAGGTCCAGGTTGGAAGTGGGAGGAAGCGATGAGGGATTATTGCACAATCTGAGGACCAGATGGTAATGACCTGAACTGGGACACGAACAGTTAGGATTTGGAGAACTGAACCGATTCTAAACATTACAAGCAGGAACAGCTGTGTCTTCAGTGATGGCTCACTTGTGGAGAAGAGGACAGCGATGAGGGGAAACTCTGGTCAGGGGCAAAGACAGGACCATGGGGCTACTCTCTAAAATAATGAAGACAAGAGGAGACCAGCCAGTGTGGCTCAGTGGTTGAGCATTGGCCTATGACCCAGGATTGCAGTTCAATTCCCGGTCAGGGCACATGCCCAGGTTGCGGGCTCCATCCCCAGTGTGGGGCGTGCAGGAGGCAGCTGATCAATGATTCTCTCTCATCATTGATCTATCATTCCCTCTTATTTCCTCTCTGAAGTCAATAAAAAGATATATACACACACAGAGATATATACTGAGTGGCCAGATTCTTATGATCTCTGAACGCATAATAATCTGTCCACTCAGAGTGTGTGTGTGTGTGTGTGTGTGTTAGAGGCCCAATGCATGAATTTGTACATGGGTGGGGTCCAGCCAGCCTGGCCAGGGGGAGGGGACATGGGCAGTTGGCCGGCCTGCCTGCTGGTCAAACTCCTGGTCGAGGGGACAATTGTATATTAGCATTTTATTGCATAGGATACCTCTAAACTTGAAATAACCCATATCACAGATCAATAGATGTAGTAGTTATCCAATAGTATTCAGCAATAAAAAAATCAAGTACTAGTATTCACATAAGCATTACTGTTGAATCTCAAAATAATTGCATAACAGGGAGGAAACCAGTACTTGTTAAAGTATACCAAATAGTGCCTATAAAACTATGAACAATATGAACTATTCTATTCTAAAGGAAGGGAAATCAATGACTGTGGAGGGCCAAGAAAGGCAGAAAGAGAGATAATGAAAGGGCTGGAGGAAAATATAGGATGTGGCAAAAGTAGGCTTAGAGTTGTTGGTAAGGAAAAATAATAATAATACAAGAACAAACTTTTCCTCAGCCAGTGTCCTCAGTTGGTTGGGTGTCATCCCATTCACCGAAAGGTCTCCGGTTTGATTCTACTTGTACATTTTCTTTTATAGCCTTAGGCAGCAATACAAAATAAGCCAATAATGGCAAATACAGTGGTGCCTCGCATAAAGAACGCCTCGCACAGCGAACGCTGCACACAACGAACTTCATTTCATGATTCATACAATGAACTTCGTTTCACACAACGAAGTCGCCCGAGCTTCCACGACCGCTTTGCCCGAGCTTCCACGACTGCTTCGCCCGAGCTTCCACGATCGCTGCCGATGTATTGCATCCTTCCGCGCAGGCACTGCAGGCAGTCGTTAGTCACTGCGCTTAACTTAAGCACGTATCGAGGCAATCGTTCTTCATTACGAATTAAATCACGCACGTATCACGGCAGTCGTCCTTTTAAGTTAAACTCAATATTTTTTTTATATCATGATGTATCTAAATAAAAATAATAACAAAAAATTTATCTTTTTTTATGTCATCTTAGCATATCAATATTTTATGCTACAGAACGAATTATTTTTTTTAACATGTATTGTTATGGGAAAACGCGTTTCACATAACGAACTTTTCGCATAACAAACTTGCTCCTGGAACGAATTAAGTTCGTTGTGTGAGGCACCACTGTAGTGATATCTACAATACTATCAGGCTGTGCCTTCCAAAGCACAGAAACTTTGGGACCCCAACATTACCTTTCCATGCTGACAGATCACAACGTTCCTTTCAAATAATCCCAGGCAGTGAATAGAACCAACAAACTAAAGGTACAAAAGAAATTTTTTTTTTATAAAAAACATAAATGGGAGCAGAGGACATTGAATAATTTGCAAGTTGAATTAGAACTAAAAACAATTCATCACAGCATAATGCAAGAGCCAAAGTACCCCTGACAGAGGCAGCACTTCTTAATGAAGGACATGTGCTCTGGATGAACCCTGGGTCAGTTCCAATCCCTAGCCAAAGATAAAGGAATGAATGTCCTGCCAAAACCAGTTTGGCTCAGTGGTAGAGCGTCGGTCTGCGGACTGAAAGGTTCCAGGTTCGATTCTGGTCAAGGGCATGTACATTGGTTGCGGGCACATCCCCGGTAGGGGGTGTGCAAGAGGCAGCTGGTCGATGTTTCTCTCTCATCGACGTTTCTAGCTCTCTACCATCCCTCTCTCCTTCTCTCTGTGAAAAATCAATAAAAAAAATATATATTATTAAAAAAAGAAAAGCAATGTCCTGTTAAGAGCTCAGAATAATCATAATTTCCCCCAGCACAAGTGAGAACACAAAATTCACTTCCCCTAAGCACACAGCTGTTATGAACGATGCACATTTTTCATGTAGTAGAAGTGAAATTGTTTCAGCCACAAATACCCAGAGGGACATCAATGGGGTATTAGGACTGGGCAGGTTGACAAATGTAGATCCTTCAAGTCTCAGCTGTACCTGAAGAGTATGAGAAACTAGCAGAGTACAGTAGGTACCTGAGTTACATTGGAGATTTGTTCAACATAATGTGATTTAAAAATATATATATTTTTATTGATTTCAGAGGGGAAGAGAGGAGAGAGAGATAGAAACATCAATGATGAGAGAGAATCATCGACTGGCTGCCTCCTGCACGCCCCCCTCTGGTGATCAAGCCCGCAACCCAGACAGGTGCCCCTGGCTAGAATCAGACCTGGGACCCTTCAGTCCACAGGCTGACGCTCTATCTGCTGAGCCAAGATGGCTAGGGCCCATAAAGCGATTTTTGCTGTAGGTTGGAACCCACCTACATCACTCACATGGAGCACACACCCAGCAGTAATGAAATAAAATCGTAAAAAAAAAACCAAAAAAAAATTAAAGAAAAATAACAATTCCTGACGTTTACTTATGGTAAATAAAAAATAGAAAACATAAATCACATATGTACATAGTCAAAATGACGAAACGTTTTGTATAAATACTGTAAATGGGAGATGGCGATGTAACCACAAAACAACGTATGTCGAGTGTGACGTAACTCGAGAACCGCGCGTATATCTTTCTATAAAAGGAGTTTATATTCAGTAAATGGGACACCCAAAATATCTCCTTCGGTGTTGCCATTCTGAGTGGAGAAAGATAAAAAGATACGATCTGGAAATTTAAGGCTTTTCTCCAGTGTGAATTCTCAGGTGCCTAATCAGGCTGTGTTTCTGGCTAAAATATTTCTTACATAAACTACAGGCAAAGGGCTTTTCGCCAGTGTGGACTCTGTGGTGCTGAATGAGGTTAGAGCTTTGGCTGAAGGACTTCCCGCAGTCACTGCACTGGTATGGCTTCTCTCCGGTGTGGACTCTCTGGTGCTGAATGAGGTTAGAGCTTTGGCTGAAGGACTTCCCACAGTCACTGCACTCGTATGGCTTTTCTCCGGTGTGGACTCTCTGGTGCTCGGTGAGGCTGCAGAACTGCATGAAGGACTTCCCGCAACGACTGCACGCGTACGGCTTCTCTCTCGTGTGGACCCTGTGGTGCTTGAGGAGGGCAGAGCTCTGGCTGAAGGATTTCCCACAGTCGCCGCATGCGTACGGCTTTTCCCTAGTGTGAACTCGGCGGTGCTTGAGGAGGTTGGAGCTGTGACTGAAGGACTTCCCGCATTCGCGGCACTGGTACGGCTTCTCCCCCAGGTGGACTCTCTGGTGCTCGGTGAGGGCAAAGACCTGCCGGAAGGACTTCCCACAGTGGCTGCACTCGTATGGCTTTTCCCCGGTGTGAACTCGGTGGTGTTTGATGAGGGTGGAGACCAGACTGAAGGACTTCCCACAGTCCCTGCAGGCGTAGGGCTTCTCCCCGGTGTGGACTCTGAGGTGTTTGACGAGGGTGCAGTTCTGGCTGAAGGCCTTCCCGCAGTCACCGCAGGCATAGGGCTTTTCTCCAGTGTGGACCCTGTGGTGCTGGATGAGGTTGTAGTTCTGACGGAAGGACTTCCCACAATCACCACATTGGTATGGCTTTTCTCCACGGTCAACTCTCTTCTGATTAAAGACGTCATCGCTGCACCCAAGTGATTTCCCACACTCACTGAACCCAAAAGACGGTTCTCCAGGGTGAACTCCATGGAGTTCAGTGTGGAAAGAGCTTTGCTGGGAGGGCCTCCCACAGTCGGCATTCTCGTAGGACGCTGCTCCAGTGTGAACTCGCTGGTGTTCAGTAAAGTTAAGGATACACCTGAAAACCTTCCCACATTTGTGACACTCGTATTTCACGTCACCGGAGAAGGCAGCCTCGTGTTGAACATGTTTATGTCTGTGGCTTGCAGCATTTTCATAGCTGCTCCACTGGCGATGACTTTTTACGCTGTGAGATTTCTGTGAAATCTCGCTGCCACTGTGAGGCTCCTCGGGGTTAAGGGATGCCTGGGGCTGCAACAGTCCTGAGCTGGCTGGCCAACCTTTCCCAGCCTCCCTAGTGATTGAAGGCACCCCTGACAAATAGAAGCTGCACCTGGTCTCAAAAAAGTCCATGTCCATAGCTTCTTTCCACGGCTTCTCTCCACTGGTATCCCTCTGTTGCTGGTGATGGTTTGCATTGGAACAGGTGTCTCTCACACATGTGTCACTGAAGGAGGCTTTCTGCTCAATGTGTGCTGCTTGTGACTCCGTCAGGTGCAGAATATCTTTGAACACTGAGAAACACCGCTGACAGACATGGGTCCTCTGGGCTGGTGGGGCTGTCTTAGAAGCCGTGAATTCTGACTCCACTTGTACAGTAACAGTCTCATCAGAACATTCCTCCTCCTCTTCGGTTTTATGCCAACAACCTGAAAACAGAGAAAGGGTGAGGAAGTAAATGTTGACGGTGGTGACAGGGAAGTTCCATTACAAAAATGTGTTGCTCACATTAGCTTGGCTTCATGCAACTGGATGAAAATAAAAGATCCGCAGGAAGGATTTTACAAGATGAAGCTATGAGGTTCTGGGCTGCTGAAGTTCAAAAACAAGGAGGACCTCAAACAAAATGTAATACATGCATGACAAGTGCCACGTGGAACAGAAGAGGTATCACAGATTCCTTCTTTTGCTAACAGAATTCAGCAGGGCTTGTGTGCTGGTGACATGGGTAAGCAGTGCAGAATGTTAGTTACTAAGGGAGTGAAGATGGTGGCTAGCAGGATGGCTGTGAGGGAGCGAAAGGGAAGTGTGTGGATATGTGTGTGTGTGTGTGTGTGTGTAAGTGAGGGGCAGTTAGATCCTCCAGAAGTCTCTGGAGCCAGAAGTCTTGGCTCCCTTAGAAGGGGAACCTTTGATACTGATGTATGCACTCCTGGGTGGCCAATTCTGGCTCTTGAAGAGGACAGCTGCTGAGAGTAGGAGCCCATCCTTACCACTCAGACTGGCCTCAAACACCACCTGCAACCCTATAGTCAGTCCATCCAAAGACCTGCTATCTCAGCTGCAAATGCACAAACACCAGGACTCCAGCTTTCCTTCAAAACATTTCACTCCAAATCTACGGAAAATACATTCTTTTCAAGTGCACATGGTACATCTTCAAAGACAGACCACATAGTGAGACACAGGCAAAGTCTCTTCAAATTCAAGAATATTGATATATCAATCATCTTCTCGGATTATAATGGCATAATATTAGAAAAAAGCTACAGTAAAAACAATGACATATTCAAACACTTAGAGGCAATATAACATGTTATTAAACAATGGCTGGGTTACCAAAGAAATCAAAGGAGAAGTTAAAAACATCCTGGAAATAAATGACAATGAAAACACAACAATCCAAAATCTACGGGACACAGTGAAAGCATTCCTGACAGGGAAGTTCATAGCATTACAGGCCAAGCTAAAAAAAAAAACCCAAGAAAAATTGGTAATAAATTATCTAACTCTATAACTTAAAGTAGGGGTGTCAAACTCAATCAGAGAAGGGGCCAAAATCTAAAATTCAGCCTAAATCACGGGCCGAATGGTTTACTGAACAGTCATAAACTGTCATTGTGATGGAAATGCAGCGGAGTGCAGTGATTACAGCGCGGTGCGGGCCACATTGCAAGGCCTGGCAGGACGGATTTGGCCTGCGGGCCTTGTGTTTGACACATGTGACTTAAAGAATTAGAAAGAGAGCAACAAGAAAAGCCCAGGGTGAACAAAAGGAAGGAAATAATAAAGATCAAAGCAGAAATAAATGAGATAGGAAACAACAACAACAACAACAACAAAAATACAATAGATCAATAAAACCAAGAGCTGATTCTTTGAAAGGATAAACAAGAGGGATGCACCTCTAGCCAGATTCACCAAGAAGCAAATAGAGTGGACCCAGATTAAAAATAAATCAGAAATGAAAGAGGTGAAATAACAACAGACCCCACAGAAATATAAAGGATTGGTAAATACACACACACAAAAAGAACACACTAGGACAACTCTAATCCAATAACTGGTCAACTGAGAAGAAATGGGCATATTCTTCAAAGTGGATAAAGGGCTTAAACGTAAGATTGGAAACCATAAAAATCTTAGAAGAATCCATACACAGCAAAATATGAGACATATGTCATTGCAATACCTTTACTGACACAGCTCCTAGGGCAATGGAAACTAAGGAGAAAATAAACAAATGGGGCTATATGAAAATAAAAAACTTCTGCACAGCAAAAGAAACCATAAAAAAACAACAAGAAATCCCACCGCATGGGAGAATATATTTGCCAATGTTGTTTCCCATAAGTGTTTAATCTCCAATTTTTACAGGGAACTCATACAATTTAACAAAAGGAAGATAAACAATCCAATCAAAAATGGGCAAAGGACTTAAATAGACACTTTTTGAAAGTGTACATACAGAAGGCAAAGAGAGATATGAAAACATGCTCAAAGTCACTAATCATCCAATAGGTGCAAATCAAAATAATGAGATACCATCTCACATCTGTCAGATTGGCTATCTTCAACAATCGACAGATGACAAGTGCTGGAGAGGATGTGGGGAAACAGGGGCCCTCATGAACTGCTGGTGGGAATGCAGACTGGTGCAGCCGCTGTGGAGAACAGTATGGAGTTTCCTCAAAAAGTTTAAAATGGATCTCCCATTTGACCCAGTGATCCCACTTCTATGAATATATCAATATATATTCAAGAAATAAGAAACACCAATCAGAGAGGACATATGCACTCCTATGTTCATAGCAGCACAATCAACAATAGCTAAGATTTGGAAACAGCCTAAGGGCCCATCAGTAGATGAGTGAATTAAAAAACTGTGGTATATCTACAAAATGAAATACTATGCTGCTATATATAAAAAAAAGAACTATTACCATTTACAACAGCATGGATAGACATGGAGAGCATTATGCAAAGCGAAATAAGCCAGTTGGAGAAAGATAAATATCACATGATCTGAATAATTTGTGGAATATAATAAAAAACATAAATTGATGAACAAAAATAGATCCAGACTCAGAGAAGCATAGAACAGAATTTCAAACCTCAGAGGGAAGGCAGGGGTAAAGGGTAGGGGAAGTAAGCGATCAACCAAAGGACTTGTATGCTTGTATTTAAGAATAACCAATGGATGCTGAAACCGGTTTGGCTCAGTGGATAGAGCATCACATCGCAGTACAGACGCAGTAGTCAGTCTGCGGACTGAAAGGTCCCAGGTTCGATTCCGGTCAAGGGCATGTACCTTGGTTGCGGGCACCTCCCCGGTAGGGGGTGTGCAGGAGGCAGCTGGTTGATGTTTCTCTCTCATTGACGTTTCTAGCTCTCTCTCCCTCTCTGTGGAAAATCAATAAAATATATTTTAAAAAAGAAAAAAAAAATAACCAATGGACACAGACACTAGGGGTTGAAGGCATATGCTGGGTGGAGGGGGTGGCCAGAGAGAGGTCAATGGGGGGTGAAAGGAGACACATGGAATATTTTATGTAATATTTTAAACAATAAAGAATTTTTAAAAAGAATGTTGGTTACATCTTCTTTCACGTATCCTATATAAATAAAAAGTCCAGGTGTCACGACCAGAACAACCGGGCCCTAGGAGGTGCCTGGACCACCTCTCGGTCCCTCCCGCCAGTGTGCAGGCTCCCGTTGCTGGATGGCCAATGGGGAACCACCGGGAGCCTGGCTGGGTGGCGGCGGCGGAGTGGGGCTGGGGACTGGTGAGTGGGCAGAAGGCAGACCTCTTGGTCCAAGGAGAGTCTCGCGAGAACTGTGCACGGTTCGTCCAAGTAAAAGACCATAACCCGGAAGAGGAAGGCATAAATGACCTTCAGCTGGAGGAAGGGTGCCGAGGGACCGCCATGCGCCCGGACACAGTCACCCTCCAGGAAGAGGAAGTTAGGCTGGGTTCTATTAAGCCGTCTAACAAGACTCATGGCTTCCCAACACGTCCTGTGCTCTCTGAGGCTGTGGGCGTGAGGGGTGTCTGGTGAGTCCATGGCTCACGGGGTCTCTACAGAGCTCAGCACTTACACCCACAGCACATACGGTTAAGAAAGTGGGTAAAACTGGCAGAGCCCCTGGTTTGTTTATTTTGTTTATTTAAAAAAAAAATATATATATATTTTATTGATTTTTTACAGAGAGGAAGGGAGAGGGATAAAGAGTCAAAAACATCGATGAGAGAGAAACATCCATCAGCTGCCTCTTGCACCCCTCCTCCCCCACCCCACTGGGGACATGCCCGCAACCAAGGCACATGCCCTTGACCGGAATCGAACCCGGGACCCTTCAGTCCACAGGCCGACGCTCTGACCACTGAGCCACACCGGTTTCGGCCAGAGCCCCTGGATTGGCTGTGGGAGAGAGAACGTTACGTCTGGAGAACAAAGGAAGAGAGGCCGTCACCTCAGGACAGGGTGAGAACGTGAAGGTCTTACCGACAGACGACACAAGTGCAAACGCTTCCAGCATCGCATCGCAGTACAGACGTCTCTGAGCCTCACCCAGGAGCCCCCACTCCTCCTGAGAGAAGCCAATGGCCACGTCCTCAAAGTTCACATCCTGTATGAATGGGGACAGTACAGGCCATGATCAGCATCTCAATTATTTTATGTTTGTCACATTCCCCATCCTCCACAAACATCCCTCCACTGCCTTCATCAGAGGAGGTATCAGGCCTCTGTCCCATCAAAGCAACTCTCTCCTTGTATTCCAGGCCTCCCCTGATAGTGTGTCTTCCCACCACAATGAAGACTGAGGAGCCGAAACCGGTGTGGCTCAGTGGATAGAGCGTCAGCCTGCGGACTGGAAGGTCCCAGGTTCGATTCCGGTCAAGGGCATGTACCTTGGTTGCGGGCACATCCCGGTAGGGGGTGTGCAAGAGGCAGTTGATCGATGTTTCTCTCTCATCGATGTTTCTAACTCTCTATCCCTCTCCCTTCCTCTCTGTAAAAAAAAAAAAAAAAAAAAAAAAAAAATCAATAAAATATATTTTTAAAAATAAATAAATAAAGGCTGAGGAGCAGAGAGAAGATAACTGATCTCTGGGCCACCCATAGAGGACACACTGCCTCTTGTCAATACAGATGATGCCCACAAAATAGCGGAGGAAGAGATGCTGGCCATAGAGGAAGTGTGAGTCACGTGACACCGGTATCACCTGGCGTTCCCACCACAGTGCCCCAGATGGTCCCTCCAGGACTCAGAAAGGCGTTCATCACACACCAGCCTCTGGAACTCACGCCCAGGATGCTCACTCTATCCCTTTGCACTGCCTGTCACGTGGTTCTTGGAAACATGGTCCTCTCACACACCTCTTTCCCAGAGTTCCATCTTCAGAGACAACACAGATAGGCCATTT